TTAGGCATGCTAGTGGATGCAGTAGTAACTACAATAAAGCTTCAGATTTATCTTCATCAATACTCAAGCTGCAGGATGTGTTTTTTAGATCACTGCTCTCTCAGGAGGGAGAGCCACATCACACGTGAGAAGTACCACAGAATCCCAGAGTGGTTTGGGTTGGAGCAGACCTTAAAGCTCATCCTGTTCCATCCCCTGCCATGGACAGGGACCTCCCACTATCCCAGGTTGCTCCAAACCCTCTCCAGCCCAGCCTTGAGCACTTCCAGGGTCCTTTTGTCAGTCCAAAGGCTGATTTGAGGATTAGCTGTTTTTAGGAAATGCCAGCTGAAAGGCCCTTCAGAGCCAGCCAATATCCAGCTTTACATTCCTTCAGAGCAAAAACAAGGGGGGAATAAATGGACATACATGACGGTATTTTAGAAATATGTGAGCATCAATATTTTTATTAAAGCAACACAAACAACACACTTCAGAGCTATTGAAATGCCTGAGGCAACAACCTGGAAATAAGGCTGAGCTGCAATGATGGCTGTGGGGGATATTCCTATTGGGAAGGGGAGCAGATTCCCTTGGCTGGAGCAGCACCAGGGCTGACTGACCACATGGGAGAGCACACTGCTCTCAAGCATGAGGGCTGATGGGATCCTGCATTTGCATGCAGGCTTTCTGCTTCCAAATAGTTCAGGAAAATCACAAGAACTGTTAGCAAAAATTTCAACTGCAGCTCTGAGAGAAATGCTGGGACCTGAGAAAATGCATGGAGCTACAACACTTCCAGATACCAACACAGAGGACACCCTCTAAAGCCTCCTGCTTCTCACCATCTGCTTTTTCTGGAGGAAATGGCCAAGCAGAGAAAGCTCAAACAACACCTCAAGCCTTAAGGAATTTTAACATGTTTGTAGGGTCTTCCCAGAGAATGTGTCCATATAATATATTGCTGAAGCTCTCATGCCAAGTTTAGCCTAGTGTTGGATCTGACTCTCTATCAGGCTGAAATGTTGCCTTTTTAAAAAAAATCCAATATATTTGAGGATAGAACAACACTGCTAACATTCACATGCCAGCACTGTATTTAAGGGAGAATTTGGAACTGTGGCTCCTGTCAGATGAATTGAGCAAACCAGGTGAATCCACACCTCCCTCATGGAGATAAAGCCAGATTTCCCCCCTTAATCACATTTACAGGTGATCACACCAGACCAGTGAAGACGAAGGTTAAAGGCTGCAGCCAGCAAACACCAACCCTGCTGTGCACATGGGGTTTGTGTACCCACTGTGTTCTAGATGGGCATCGCTAGGGGAATGGGCATTCCTTCTCATGTATTTAAGAAGCTCTTCTTGCCCCATAAGGTGCCCCAGCACTGAAATCAGATCTAGACCAAATTAAACGTAAAAGGGGAAAACTGCCCTTACCAAAACCTAGCTGTTTTCAGCCTTTTTTCCCTTTTTCCTTCTTTTCACAACCGAGGTGCAGCGATGGTGAAGACACGAGAGCAGAGAAGGGACATCCACAGCTAAAGCTGTGTCACGTGCTGACCCGTGGCACGCTGGCAGCCCTGTGGCAGGCAGCCAGTGGGGAAACATCATCAGCTATTCATCAGGAGAAGGCTCAGATAAAGCAGGGCTGCCCAGCAGGTATCCTGGTGAATGCATTCCGGGAGCATCCCGCCATTAAAAAGCCAGGAGATGCCTCGGCAAATTCCCCCGGGGCCCTTTGGGGAGGCTGACACGGAATTTGCCGGCCAGAATTTTAGTGATCCACTCCACAGCTCTGCTCCAGAAGCCCAAGATGAATAGGGAGCTCTGGTGAACTTTGAAGCCTGAGGGTCAAAGTTCTCTCTCATTATCCCCAACCATTTTCTATCGGCGCAGCTCCTCGGCGTCCCAAGGGACGGGAAGGTTTGAGGCTCTTGAAAAAAACCTGACACGACCAAGTCAGGAAACAGTAGGGTGCTTATGTACACATATTTTTCTTCCCCCGTTTCCCTCTCCCCCCACTTTCTTGAAAAGAAACGAGAGGGATTTTGCTATTGTGTCAAACATCAACCTGGTGGCACCGGGAGTCGCTCGTGAGGCTGGCACAATGCCGCGCTCGTTTCAGCACGCTGCCCTGCCAAACAGCCTGACCCTCCCAGGGACACCTCCTCTGCAAAAAAGGGCCTCATTGGATTTTTCCCTCCCCACCCCAAAACCTTTCATTGTGCAGGCAATGCTTTCAAGGAGGATGTCAGGGCTGGATTCTGCAGCACCTGTTTTCTGTGTTTAAACCACTGCGTCGTGCCTGAGCTGCTACCGATTGCATCTGGCAGAGACAACTGATGCACCTGTGGCCAAACCTCGAGCAATATTTAACAGAGTGCTCACTATCAGCCACTAAACATTGTAATTGGCCCTTCAAACACCAGGTGTTAGGCTCTGACTCAAACCACAGGCTGGACAGACCATATGATCCCCTAGATTTCCTTTTTCTGCCACCACTAGAGGCCAGCCCACCTTTCACTGCAATTAAAAATTCACTCCAGAATTAAAAGGACAACATTTTGATGAACTGAAATGATCTGCACATTTGAAACAACCTAAATCTGATTAGAGCTAGGCTTTGCACAAGGTTGGGGAACTGACTTTAGACAGCAAACAAAAGCTCTTTTCTTCGCTGCTGCTTAATGGGAAACTTGGTAGGAATAAGGTCTGATTTTTCAAAACAATGTAAGAAATTATCCCAGACAGCAATGCAAGCACAGCATTAAAAATTCATCGCTTTCTTGAGAAAAAAAAGGAACAAAAAATTACTGACAAACAAAAACCCGCAAAACCAAACCAGAAACACAGTATCAGAGCTCTGGTTGGGGGAAGACCCTCTCACCTGGCAATCCCAAAGAAGAAATTGTGATGCTCCTGCCAACAAAGTTTAGTACAAAGTGTACTGTGAGTGTGACTGACTTAAAATATTTGTGGTTCCCTCACAAACCCCTCTGATCCACACAAGGAGGAAAAGGCAACACCGAGCCCAGCACCTTCTTCTTGGGGTGGGGGGGCACGGTGGAGGACAGAGGGAAACAATTACAGGCTGGTAATTACTTCTTCTTTAAATGGATTCCCTCTAATCTCCGATGGATTTACCTCTAATCTCAAAGTAATTACGTGTAACCTCAGTGGATTCTCACTCTGGGGGCGCCGCCGCCGCTCCGGGGGAGCCTGCACAGGAGAAGTTTCTCCATTGTCTGCCAGAGCAATGGAAAACTCACACGTGCACAGCACTGGCAGGAACAATAGAGCCTTTTCCAGCAGCCAGGAAGGGGCCAGGGCACACACAACAGCCTCATCCTCGCTTGGTGACCAGCACAATCTGAGGCACACTCAGGTGCGCTCCATGAGACTCACAGAATCCCTGCTTCCCTTCTGGGAGCAATGCCAACACAGAACTCTGGGTGTTTCAGGGCTACTTCACAGCAGAATTAGTCACATGTGGGCACTAAAATTGGGCAGAAAGACATGAACTCCATCACACAAAGGAGCAGTGAAAACCCTGCTCCAGAACACCAGGGCTGAGGGACAAGGTTTCTGACGGGAAGCAGCAATGCCCGGAAGCTACTTGTCATCTCATTTACCACGTAATGTGTAAGAGACATGGACATCACATCAGAAACCACAGCAAAGCATCATCATGGCAGGACCTGAGACCATAAAACCTTGTGTCAAGGCAGGGGAAAAGTGCTAATATTCCACAGACAGGGGCAAGCACAGCATCAGCGTGGCCAGGCATGGATGTGGCACTTGGGGAGGGGGTTTAGTGCTGGGCTGGATGACCTTAGAGTGCTTTCCAACCTTAATGATTCTAGGGCTCCATGCTCCTCAGACACCACCCAGCTAAAGCACAAGTTTCCTGCCAGTTCCAGGTGCAGGTTTGTAAACCCCAAAATTAATAGAAAATGCATCAAAACCTTGATTTTCACTCCTTAATGAAAACGTGACCAGGAGCTCAAGATGCCACCAACAGGTTTAGAAACAACTGACTCTAAAAACATTACAAGTGGCAACCCTCTGATTTCCATGTGTGGGATGATGATAAAATACAAGATCAGATATTATATAAAACCAAACATATATGTATATATTTATATATATTTATATACTTGTATTTATTTTTATATATTTATATAGGTAGGTAGATATTTCTATATACCTATAAATCAAATATCCATATATCTCACATCTCTATCTATCTATCTACCTATCTATTATGTATGTATGTATCTATTATCTATCTATCATCTATCTATCAATCATCTATCTATCATCTATCTATCTATCATCTATCTATCTATCTATCTATCTATCAATCTATCTATCTATCTATCATCTATCATCTGTCTGTCTGTCTGTCTCCATTTTTATATATGTATAATATATATTTTACCTTGGTGAGGGTCACACCATGATTTCTGGGGTGGGCTAGTCCTGAGTGGGATCTCTGTGCTCCCTCCACCCCACACCAGGAGTTGTGCCACACACTCTGAGGGACAGACAGCATCCTTGGGACAAGGATAGATGCCTCAACATGGAAAAGTTGCATGGAACAGTTTTTAATGGCTATGCAATTTCCAAAAAGCTGCTCAGAATTACTCCTGGATAAACCACAAGCCTCTCCTCACTCTTTACTACCCCTAGGAAACTTTTCCTTGTGAAACCAGTTGGTTTTTAACCCTGGGATCAACAACAAGCCCATGAAAGAAAATAAAACAGAAAATAAAGCAGGAAATGAAGGCTTTAAACAGTTCCAGCAGGCTCTTGGCATGCAGGGAAACCCCAGTGCCAGAGGAGTCAGAGGAACTGGGATGCACTCAGACTTGCAGCAGGGAGTTTCACTTGAGGTGATGATTCCCTGGCAGGGAGGGGGATGAGGAGAGAGGAGGAAGCTCCCTGAGCACAGAGGTGCCCCCAAGGCTGGCTGAGCCTGCTGCCAGGGCTGGGGCTCCCAGGGCAGGGCTACTCACGTGCAGGCTGGGGTGGTAGGTCAGCACGCCGTTGTCACACAGCGTCACGTACTTCTTCTTCCACTCCTTGTTCAGGGACTTGCCACTCCGCTTCAGCAGCATCCCCTGGTGGGAAACAGAGAGGGAAAAGGTGAAATGGCAGCACAAACAACACACACCTGCCTAAGACACACAGAGAGAGAAGAGGAACTGCCTTTCCTCTTGAGCATTTTCAGACAGGCTTTCCCCTGCCTCTCCCACAATGCACATTCCCTCCACTGGCTTTATCCAGTGGGTAGAAAAACCCTCTTTCTCCTTGAATTCCATGCCTCAGGAAAGCACATTTTGGTGCGACCCACATGGATTCCTAGCTGATGAAGACACCCTGCTCTGCATTTCCTAACCCTCTAAAATAAATGTTGAGCCCAGGATGAGGGAGGACCCTGCTGTGTGGCCTCTCCCTCCAGCATCTCCTGGAGATTCCATGCCCACAGAGGAGCACACAGCTGTGACACCACCATGGAAACCCTCATTCCAGCAAAAGAAACCCCAATCCCAGGCAAGAGTAACAAAACAGAGCAAATACAAAGTGTTTCAAGTAAATCCTGGATAATTTAATGACAAAGGGGTGACTGGAGAAGAAAGGAGGTGGGCAAAGTGAATCTCCCTTCCACAATATTCAATCAAGGATGAATGACAACAGTCACAGAATCCCAGAATGGTTTGGGTTGGAAGGGACATTAAAATCCAGTTCCAACCCTCAGCATGGGCAGGGACACCTCCCACTGGATCAGGTGGCTCCAAGCCCTGTCCAACCTGTCCCGGAACACTTCCAGGGATGGGGCAGCCACAACTTCTCAGACACAGCAAAGATTTAAAGTCATCATTGTGTTCCAACAGTCAAACAGACAGGAACTGCTACTGTACATTGACCTGTTCTCAGCTGCAAAACCAAAATTCACTTTGAAAAATAAAATACCACGTGCTGTGGAACACTCCAGGTAGTCAATGAAGGATGCACTTCCTTAGGAAATTTTAATTTTCAACCCAAGCCAGAAGGCAGTTCCTGATGGATCCAGGCAGTGTTGTGGCTGTGCAAAGCCTTACTGCAGTGTCCAGGGGAGATCCCAAGCTCAGTACCCACCACAGGGACTGGTGCCACAGATCAAGCTCTGAGCAAAGCAGACATATCCATTTCAATAAATCCCAACCAGCAGTCCACCCAACACAAACTTCAGCTCCCTAAACCCTATAAAACAAGTTTTCCCCTTCTCACTGTACAAGGCAATTAAAACAAAGGGCAAACAGAACACAGAAGGAAGCCCTACCAAGCACAGCGCTTCCAACTCCCATGGGGTCAGTAAAAGTGGTTTAAGCCTTGAAAACGAGTTCCACTGTTTGTTTCCCCATTAAACTTGCAGCTTTATGAAGTGATCCCTCTGCAGACCCTGTCCCAAAGCCAGGAGGGGACGCAGGTCAGCTCCACTCAAGCAGAAGCCCTGCTCCTGGCCACACAGCTGGAGCAGAACTTCAGAGGAGAACCCTTCCCAACACACTCCATCCATGGTGGGACCATGAAGAAAAGCTCTGCTGGACACTGAACAGCACACTGATCCAAACTCCCAACTTTCTGCCTGCCTCTGGGTCACATGTCTGTATTTTTTATTTTATTTTTTTGTTCTGCTCCTTGCTAGAACTCAAACTTTTTCAAGGAGAACGGGGCTTCTGAAACGCCTCCTCACAAAAGCTCCTGCTCATCCCAATTACTGCCAGCCGGCGCCTGGAGACGTTGTTTTCTTCTATTAAAAAATGAAAGCTTATTTCTGCCTTTGACTCTCCTGTTTGTCTATAGGAGGTGATCTGTCTCTTCACCTTTCCCATCTTTCATACCTCACCTGCAGCACAGCACTGGTGTTTAGGGGGACCCAATTCTAGTTAGTGCTGTGCTGTGGGGATCAAAAATTACTGCTTCTCTTCACTGGTTTGTTCTTCAGACCTTCTAATGGGGAAAAAGCACTAAGGATCACAACGGGGATTTTTTTCCCTTTGCCTTCTTTTTTCAAGTTTTGAAGCCAGTAAAATGTACATATTTCATAACCTTTTAACTGTCCCTTTGCTATACAGAAAACATGTTATTACTTACATAATTTTCAATTTGTGTCAATTATCATCTCAATAAAGACTAAAAAATCTATGACCATCATGATTTTTACTACTTAAAGTTTTGCTGCTATTTAAGTATGAATTATGACATTCTAGTTTTGGATCTAAATGAAGAAAATTATTCAAAATGAGGTTTTACCATGTTTTTCAAGCAGAACTCTGTGCTTTGATGTAAAAAAAAAAACCCAAACAAAAACCAACCTACCCAGCTCAGAACTGAACAGGGATGATGGACCTATTTGTGCCTAGCTAACAAACCAGACTTCCCAATCCATTTTCTTCAGGCATTCCTTTGGCAAACAGAATCATTTTCACATTAAGTGATAATTAAAAGTATCTTGAAGTACCTGGAGAGCAAACTGCTGTGAATACAAGGAGCTAACTTAAAGAGCTATAAAGCAAAACAGCCCATACAAACCACAGTTTTTATCCCCAAGGCCACCACTTTGTGGTAATTTTATAGAATGGTCTGGAGAAATGGTCTTAGAATCAGAGTTTAGATCAGTTATAAATGCACTTTAACGTTAGCTACACGTAAAAAAAATGGCCCACATGACAGGAAATGTTATTTAAAAGTAAAAAAAAAAAAGCTCCTTGCTTCAGTCACATTGTGGCTACGTTTGAGTCACATCAGATCCTGTGCTGAGGAAATGAATCCAGGGGTTCCTGCTGGCCCCTGGTACCTCCAGGGCAACTCAGAGGCAGCTTGGGCACGTCCCCAGTCACTGCCAAACAGAGCCCCACGTACACACAGCACACTGGAAAAATCCCATTGAGTCCCCAAGCTAGGCAGGAGGAGCCTACATAAATCTTCCACTCCAAATACCAATTTTTTGGGTCTAAATAATCCCTGCCTCAAACAATTATTAATTGGATGATGCTATTTTGCCTAATTTCTAGGAAATCTTTAATTTCTCACAGCCCTCCATGGGCAGTTGGGTGCAGCTCCAGAGCCTCCAGACTCAACACTAAGGATTTAACACCTCTGATTTCCACACAAACCCACAAGAACTTCACACCTCCAATAGCTTTTTAATTTATTTTTTTTACCACCTTCCCTCCAAAACTGCAACTCTGTGTTGAAGGGAGGAATGGGGAGTCCTCCAGCTTGTGGTTTGAAGGAGCTGGAGGAAAAAGGCTCCAAGTGGAGTGCATGGAGCTCAGTCCCTGGGTTTTGCTGGAGGATCCAGGGAGCGAACGGAGCTGGCTCTCCATTAGTAATGTGTGTGCTACATCTACTCCCAGGAGGTCATTGCAAGCCAAAAGCAATGTTAAGTGTACAAGCTTTAAATAACTTACAAAGTTAATGTAATGAATGCAAGTGTGATCTGAAATCCATCACTCAGTGGCTTGCTGTAGCCTCAAGCTGTGATAAAACACCACTCATAAATTTATATTAAAACTCTGTTCGATAGCAATTATTTACCAACAAAGATTTATTGATTGCATTTGCTGTTAGGGACTGGGGCCCTAACTGAGTCAATCAGCTTAGGCTGCTGAGCTCCAGGGCACCTGGGGAAGTTACAGACTGCCAGCAGGCTCTGCAATCCCACCATTACCGTGGGATGGGAGCAGCAGCTAATGAAAAGCCGCCAGCCCCGGATTGATTGGAGCCAAGGTGGAAAGAAAACAACACACCCAGCGCTGGTGAAGGGACCAGGGCTTGTGGAGCATCCAGCTCACCTGAATACACAGCAACCAGCAAAATCTGCCTGCTCTGGGTGCCCTCTGTGAGCTCCAAACCTTGCCTGATTAAATAACGACTCAGTGGTGAAGCAATCATCAATTTGTCCTACTGAAATATTTTAGGTTTTAAATAGCAAATTATCAGCATTTCAAAAAGTGACCCCTTGAAGATGTTGGCAGGTGAGAAGCCTTAAAAATGGCTTTTGAAGTCAACAGAGTCAAGATTGGACCTTCTGGAAAAGGAAATATAGTACCTACAAGGCAGGGCTAGGAACTAGATGAGCTTCAGGATCCCATCCAACCCAAACCATTCCATGATTCCACTTTGGTTTCTGTTTCCTTTCAGACATTTACCCCACTGCCATGGCTGAGGTGCAAACTTCTGCCAGCCTTTTTTTCCTTCCCCTCCCTAACTTTTAGCTGACCCCATATTGTTTCCCTGATGCTGTTCTGACAGAATGCAACAGGTAATCTCACACTTCATCATTAACAACAGAAATCCCTAATAAATTCCTGTTTTTTTTCCATAAATTCCTAATTTTCCACTCAGGTCTGTAGCTCCCACAGCCATGATTAGCAGCTAGCACTGCTAGGAATTTTCTACAGCTCCTGTACATCCTGCTCAGAAAAGAGAAACTCTCAGCCATGAAAAACCTCCTCCTTCAAATAACTCTGAAGGCAGCCACTCAGCCAGGATCACAAACTAATTGTTACATACAAATTCTGGCCAATAAAACACCCACTCCTGTCAATCTATTAATGTGGAGAACAAATGCTGGTGAAACCCCAGGATTCAGTGACCAGCCAGCTCTGCACAGTCTGTCCAAACACCACTGGGGCCACCTGATAATAAACAAAGAATTCATTTTTCACTGATATTTTTTGCCTCCTGAAGATTTAGTTGTAACAGGTTTCTGGTGGTAAAGCCCATTCTTCAGCAGCTCAAACGGTTTCACCCCCAAACAATACCTGCATGCCAAAGGGAGATTTTGGTAATGACTGAATCATTGATCCACAGAGAGTCAGAGAATCCCAGAATGGCTTGGGCTGGAAGAGACTTTTAATTTCATCTCATTCTGTCCCCTATCATGGACAGGGACACCTTCCACTAGACCAGGTTGCTCTGTCTTTAAACCTAAAATCCTCTAGGGAATAAACTGTTGAAGATCCCCAGTGTATGGGGAATCCTTCCATAAAAATGTAACTTGTTTTCTCAGTTTCCCAAACTTAAATCTTTTTTCCCCCAGGAATTTAAGGGAATGCTGCTTGGTCTTTTG